TCTAGTTTGAAGCGTTTCATGTAAATAGTCTGGTTTTGCACACTTCGCGATCGTTGTATATGAAGAAACCATCTCTGAAAAATGTTCAGCCTAGCTTCCGTTGTGTATATTTGGAGGACATATTTAGTTAAAAGCTTTTGTAGCCTTTCAGCAAGGAAGAATAGTGTAAGTACTGTGTTGTGTAATCATTAGTGCTGTAGGTCAGCGGTGGAGCATCATCTTTGGCGGTTTAATTTTACGAAGCTATTTTTTTACCAATCGTTCATGATTTCTTTTCCTGTCTTAATGGTTTATATTAACATGCTAAAAGGAACACGAGTAAAAGTTGTGGTTATGTAAACTGACTTGTTTGTTTGTTTTTGTGCAAAGATCTCGGTAGAGGGCGCCAACTGTCAAGACTCAGACATGACCCCTGTCAGTCTGGGAAAGTGTTAAAATGTATTTCCTAACATTTAAAAAAAAATGGAATATTAACTTACATTTCAGTTATTAATTTGCATGGTGATTAAAATGAACTTTTCAGATCACGTGACAAAAGAACGAAGGACTCAGACTCGAAAAGAGATGAACTAATCATTTCTCAGGTGTGTTATGCCGAATTTTAACCCCTGCCAATGTATTACCCCGTAGCATTGGTAGGTTTAGGATTAGTTGTGGGGGAGGGGTTAGGATTAGGCAATCAGGTGCTGACTCCAACGAGGGGGTAATAATTTGGTAGGGGAAAGTTGGCACAACGCCTGTTCTGACTCTATGGTTCTGACAATAGTTTCTATGGGACTGACAGGAAGAACGAAAGTCTCTGACCTGACCGAAGCCGAAGACTCGAGAGATGAACTAATAATTTCTGTTTCCGGTCAGGTAAGTTACCTTTGTGCATTCAAATGCTTATGGGCTGTGTCACTCGTCCCAGGTCAGACACTGACGAGTCGTCTGAACTGATGTAACGTCTTGAAGTTCGAAGCCAAAGACAGGAGAGTTGGGGAAGTTGAAGTTGCAAAAGAAAGAACGTCTCGGATCAGGTGAGGTAAACTAACAGACTACAAAAGCCTGAACTTAAGACCCAACTAGTCAATTAATTGATTATTAAGTTTCTATAAAACTATCTGGTGCACTTAGAAAGTTCAAAATGAAGAGTTACAAACCATAAATTGAACAAAGAAAAACTCAAAACTCTTTTAGTTGTGATATAGTGTCTGTCTACATAACACTAGGCTACTACAACTATATCTTAAAGTGTGTATGTCAGGTTAAAAATTTTTTTTAGATGTATTAAATAATGTTTAGATGTCTGAGTGAAAATGTAATTATCATTAAAATTATTACTGTAATTGCCCTACATTAACTTTTATAGCCATTTCTGTCAAGATCATATTTTTAAAACACAGTGGAGCTGCCTGTGATGTCATAAGAGGGAGATGTGACAAAAACGTTCTATTCAAGTATGGAGAGTTTTGAGTCTGAGAAGATCCAAAATCCCCCTCAAACCTATACGATGGCCCACAGCCTTACAATTTTGAGCCTCCCAGGCGTGAGACAGATGAGGAACCAAACAGAAATTTAAATAATTCCTATCGAAGAAACATAAATATCTGGTGTGAAGAGAACCAGTGGAGAGTTGGTCAGGTGTCTTGGTAAACTATAGGCAATAACTTAAGAGGTGGAACGGTACATGTATTCGTATTGAACCGAAACGTACGGCCGTCACGGTTCGGTGCATGAATATACACGGAGAATACAGGGTTGAAATAAATAAAACTCGCGTGCAAATTAATTAATGCGGAACTACTGTTAGATACGCGGTAGAGATGTGCGGTAGCCTATAGATCAGTGTGAAGAGGTTCAGTATGTGGAAAGAAGACAGGGTCGGCGTGACTGGGACTCGTTTATTCAGAAAAAAAAACAAAAAAGAAACGAGGCGCACAGTAGCGCATTCGCCACAAACACGCGATCCAACACTTGCTTCTCAGTCTCGGTTGCAGTAGCCGCGTGAAGTCCCAGTCCAACTCTCTCTCGCTCGCTCTCTCATTCCCCGGTTATATACGGTCTCTCCACGGAAAATTACTGCAATCAAACACAGGTGTTCATCATCTGCACTTGATCTACTAATCTCACCGTGCGGCTCCGTCCTTTCTCTCCCGCAGCCGCTACAGACTCACGCCCCCTCGCCACAGTCAGGTTTGCCGAAGTGCTGATATTCTGAGAGCTAGTCTCGCAGCTGTCATCAAAAAGTGGACTCTGTGACCGGTTTTAACGGTGTTTTTGCACCCAGTACAAACGCAGTAATTCACCATCGTGATAATACGCCTGCATACATTTCTTCTTTTTCTTCTTCTTCAGGGTTTAATTGCGGTTGGCAAACCTATTTCCTGCATATACCTAACTAACTACCTAACTTAAATAACTAAATAAATAAATGTCCTAATCAAATAAGTCTCTCGCTTTATCATTCGTACAATTACCAACACAGCTCACTGACTCACTCTCAGCGACCTGGCAGACGTCTCCCTCTTATGACATCAGTGATTCGATTGGGGGGAGGAGCAGTTTTAAGTGAGTACTGAAAATAACGAACTTTTTCATCTTATATTCTGCCTTTAGGTATCGAAAAACATACAAAACAATACACCAACTTGACAAACGTGTTTTCCCCCTAACTATTTTGTGTTAATCATAATTACAAATTTAACCTGACATACACACTTTAATATTAATCCTGTGACAGTAATAGCCACATTGTAATACACATGCACTGAAAATTGAATAAACTTTCATAATTAGTTTTGTAATGATTTCTACTTGAAAGAGAATAAACATATAATCTTTGATTTTGAACACCTCTCGTGTTCACCTCTCGTAAATGTAAGTACACATTGATGGCCTAAGACACGAAACGAGCGGTTTGTGTGAGAAAACGAACAGTATTTATATCGTTTTTACCTCTTGTAAGCACAGCCACGTCCAAGTTATCTGAATCAGTTGTCCAATGTCCAACGTTCCGTTATATAAAACAAAATAAATATTGTTCGTTTTCTCACACAAACCGCTCGTTTCGTGTCTTAGGCCATCAATGTGTACTTACGTTTACGAGTCATTAAATCATGTTTAATCTGGACTTCTCTGTGCATGCTCTTTGAGGTGGTGACCATCGACCTCCATTATATGACTGACAGACAAGAACAGTTTGACCGAAAAATGTCAAAATTGAAAATACTGTGGAAACAAAGACATCTTGGATGCCTTTGAGGTAAGCTAAAACAAATCAATAATTCATTTCAAAGTGAACTATCCCTTTAACATGAAGCTGCAGCTTCAAAAAACATGAATTACACTTACGAATAACAGTTACATGCTGCAAATAATTTTTTTTTCTTACACTTGAAGGGCAATTTACCCAAATCTTCCTTTGCACATGCAAATTTATTTTACGCTTGCAATCTTATGTACTCACAAATCTTACCCTGCGCATGCGATTCTTTATGTCATTATTTTACCTTCATAAATAACACGCTGCTTATAGTGAGAAGGAAATTAAAGTGTGTGTGTGTATGTGTGTGTGTGAGGGAGGGAGAGAGAGAGAAAATACCACAAATTATGCTCAAGATATTTTTATTTGGTCATGCAGTGTACAGTCATGCTATTATTTGTTTACTAACAAAATTGTCATCTAAGAATACAACATTTCACAATTGATGTATTAATTAGACTACATTTGCAGAAATGATTTAGCCTTTTAAAATCTAAAATCTAACAAGAATGTTCTAGAAATTAAACTAAGAAAAGAAAAAGAAAGTCATTCTCATGTCAAGGCTTATGTCTGTCAGTGTTCATCTGAAGTTGTTTTACTCCTCATCCTACAGTTTAACACACTTAGTGTTACAATGATAATATGGCAAATTAGATGCTATTTCCTTCAGTCTCTCTATCACCTTTGTCTTCTCATCCTCGTCCCAAATCTTTTTGAAAACAAAGGCTGCATTTTTTTCTTTTTGCAACAATTGAATACTGTTTTCAATGTTAAACCTCCCCCCCTTTTCTAAGCATTTTTTCATACAAGGTGAATTAACAGTAAAATAAATCACACATTTATCTTTTCCCAAGAGGTTTTTCAGATAATTCTGCAGGCGAAACTCAGAATGTTCTGTGTATTTAGGTTCAGTTTTTGGCTTTGCAGCAATGAGATTTTCGTGGACATAAACCTCATTTTTTTTAAATGAATCTTTCACTCCTTTTAAGTCAGGACCTGTATATTTAGAACCTTTATTGCATTCCTCATTCTCAGCACTGAAGGCTATAGCGTATTGCCCTTGATCACGCAACCTGAAACATGAAACAGAGGCAATTTAATATCGTGTCATTCTTATTGTTGTATGTACTAAATTCAAATATATTTATAGATAAAATACATTTTTAATTACATTTTTACAACTATTAATTACGAACTATTAATGTTTTATGTTAAAATTATGTAAGGACACAAATCCAGCAAAAGACTATTTTGTTATATCTGTCTCATCGTTTTGAATTTAACAATTGGATGCATTTTAACTTATAAATATATGTGTTAAAAAACAAAACAAAAAAAACACTTACTGATTCTCCAAGTTATTTACAATATTCATGAGGGTTATTGGGTCAACTTCCCCATCTACTGCTGCACAAAAATGAACCAGGCAGACCATGAGGATCCTCAGTGGTACAGTGAAACCCTAAACATATGGAAACACAACTACTTACATAAAATATCCACAAAATAGTATCCTGATTGTTAGAAACTAAATATTCTTTGAGGTCCTATTGTATAGACTTCATAGGAGCTTTTTTGCTGCTTAATACACTGAATCAGTTTTCCCAACATTTCTAACATGCTAATAATGCAACATTCACAGGATGCCTGGATCTGCATCTTTATATTACTCACCATGATGTCTGTCAAGAATTGTTGAGAAGATCTAAAAATACTTGTGAGCTCTTCAGAGATGAGGTATCAGATCCGTTCTGAGAAGGATGACTAGGAGAAGCCAATGCATCATATTTATTCTGCTCTTTAATCAAACCTTATGCAAAAAACTTAGAGATAAACTACTGGTAATCTTCAACAGGGGAGGTTCTATCAATGTCTGTTTGATAAGCTGATATCTAATATTTGTATAATGACAATATTGTAATAAATTAGTAATTTATTTGTTATTATAAATGTAAGGCCAATTACGTTTATTTTTGTACGTTTTGGTACAGTGTTTTGTCTCCACTTGAGTTTCAGTGTAAATTCTATAATTGAGAACCAATGGTTTGAGTCATTAATAGCTATTTATTTATTATTTCCACAACAAGGTGCCTAAAGCAGAAGACTATCACAATTGTCTTTAGTCTGTAAATGTATTATTATGATCAAGTAGGCCTGATGTGATGTGAAGACATTGGCAAATGTGAAAACAAATTAAATTGATGCAAAATGAGTGTAACTGATGTCTGATAAGAAGCCTTTCCACTTGTAACACATAGTTGAGATGTTGTTGGCCAGAGAAAAACAATTGTTGAAACAATAAAAACAATAGTAGTTTTAAATATGGATATTTTTCTTACACAAACATAAGGCTGCACTTCAGAAGGTCTTTATTAACCCCCTAGAGCTTTATGGAGCACTTTTATCATGGATGCACTTTGATGAACTTCACAACTGAAATTGCCAGTAACTTCCATTATAAAGCTTAGAAGAGCCAAGATATATTTTAAATATAACTCCAATTATATACAGGTTGACTTGAGGGTGAGTCAGTCATTGGGTAATTTTCCAATTTGAACTAACCCTTTAATAGAATGTCTTAAACGTCACATTCATGTGCATGCATGGGGATTGAGTGAGGAAAAACATACAAAAAAACATTAAATTCTGGTCACAAATAAGAAATAAAAGAAAGTGTACAGAAGTCGGTAGAGCATTATCTCTTCTCCTGTTCACCTGTCACTTCTATTACAGACAGACACACTCTTTACACACATGCACAGTTCTCATTGTACCTTGAACAAAGTTACAAAGTTAAAATACACTGATAAAACCATTTTGCATTTCCCAAGAAGAAAATTATGTATCTTTCCATTGGAGCAAGACCTTTGCATTTAGTCAAATACCAAATGTGCATGATGTTACTATTCAATGCAACTGAATAATGTACATGCTCCCTTCATCCATTCAGTTAGTTTCTGTTGTTGAAACAGTTCACTCAAGTGTGGATGAACACACACACATAAAAAATAAAAAATAAAATAAAAATTAATTGCATTATGTGCAGTGTTGGGCTCATTACACACACACAAAAAATATTATTGATTACTCCTTTCAAAAGTAATATGACTTTACTTATTACTTCCTGGCAAAAGTTATCTGTTTCAATAGGCCAACTAATTATTTTACTTAGTTATTACACAGAACTGGTAACTGTGTATAGTTCTTCTATGCCAAATGAACATGCACTGTATGAATATGATTCAGGCATCACAAGTCAGAAGTCATAATGGGATAGGAACATTCAAAAATATTTAAAGTCACCATGAAACGGAACTTGTGATAATCATTTTACCCCTAATGTGACATAGTGAAACCCCTTCTGAAATGAGAAAACAAATGTAGGACCGGGCTTGATTTCGTTCTTAGGGAATTGTTTAGATCGTTGGAAGTTGCAAAAAGAAATGGAGGGAGATCTGAATGTGTATGGAAGCAGAAAAGTTAGTTTTTGTGCAAAGACTTGCATGCAGTTTTGCAGTGATCTCGGTAGAGGGCGCCAACTCTGTGCATGCTCTTTGAGGTGGTGACCATAGACCTCCATTATATGACTGACAGACAAGAACAGTTTGACCGAAAAATGTCAAAATTGAAAATACTGTGGAAACAAAGACACCTACATCTTGGATGCCTTTGAGGTAAGCTAAAACAAATCAATAATTCATTTCAAAGTGAACTATCCCTTTAACATGAAGCTGCAGCTTCAAAAAAACATGAATTACACTTACGAATAACAGTTACATGCTGCAAATAATTTTTTTTTCTTACACTTGAAGGGCAATTTACCCAAATCTTCCTTTGCACATGCAAATTTATTTTACGCTTGCAATCTTATGTACTCACAAATCTTACCCTGCGCATGCGATTCTTTATGTCATTATTTTACCTTCATAAATAACACGCTGCTTATAGTGAGAAGGAAATTAAAGTGTGTGTGTGTGTGTATGTGTGTGTGTGAGGGAGGGAGAGAGAGAGAAAATACCACAAATTATGCTCAAGATATTTTTATTTGGTCATGCAGTGTACAGTCATGCTATTATTTGTTTACTAACAAAATTGTCATCTAAGAATACAACATTTCACAATTGATGTATTAATTAGACTACATTTGCAGAAATGATTTAGCCTTTTAAAATCTAAAATCTAACAAGAATGTTCTAGAAATTAAACTAAGAAAAGAAAAAGAAAGTCATTCTCATGTCAAGGCTTATGTCTGTCAGTGTTCATCTGAAGTTGTTTTACTCCTCATCCTACAGTTTAACACACTTAGTGTTACAATGATAATATGGCAAATTAGATGCTATTTCCTTCAGTCTCTCTATCACCTTTGTCTTCTCATCCTCGTCCCAAATCTTTTTGAAAACAAAGGCTGCATTTTTTTCTTTTTGCAACAATTGAATACTGTTTTCAATGTTAAACCTCCCCCCTTTTCTAAGCATTTTTTCATACAAGGTGAATTAACAGTAAAATAAATCACACATTTATCTTTTCCCAAGAGGTTTTTCAGATAATTCTGCAGGCGAAACTCAGAATGTTCTGTGTATTTAGGTTCAGTTTTTGGCTTTGCAGCAATGAGATTTTCGTGGACATAAACCTCATTTTTTTTAAATGAATCTTTCACTCCTTTTAAGTCAGGACCTGTATATTTAGAACCTTTATTGCATTCCTCATTCTCAGCACTGAAGGCTATAGCGTATTGCCCTTGATCACGCAACCTGAAACATGAAACAGAGGCAATTTAATATCGTGTCATTCTTATTGTTGTATGTACTAAATTCAAATATATTTATAGATAAAATACATTTTTTAATTACATTTTTACAACTATTAATTACGAACTATTAATGTTTTATGTTAAAATTATGTAAGGACACAAATCCAGCAAAAGACTATTTTGTTATATCTGTCTCATCGTTTTGAATTTAACAATTGGATGCATTTTAACTTATAAATATATGTGTTAAAAAACAAAACAAAAAAAACACTTACTGATTCTCCAAGTTATTTACAATATTCATGAGGGTTATTGGGTCAACTTCCCCATCTACTGCTGCACAAAAATGAACCAGGCAGACCATGAGGATCCTCAGTGGTACAGTGAAACCCTAAACATATGGAAACACAACTACTTACATAAAATATCCACAAAATAGTATCCTGATTGTTAGAAACTAAATATTCTTTGAGGTCCTATTGTATAGACTTCATAGGAGCTTTTTTGCTGCTTAATACACTGAATCAGTTTTCCCAACATTTCTAACATGCTAATAATGCAACATTCACAGGATGCCTGGATCTGCATCTTTATATTACTCACCATGATGTCTGTCAAGAATTGTTGAGAAGATCTAAAAATACTTGTGAGCTCTTCAGAGATGAGGTATCAGATCCGTTCTGAGAAGGATGACTAGGAGAAGCCAATGCATCATATTTATTCTGCTCTTTAATCAAACCTTATGCAAAAAACTTAGAGATAAACTACTGGTAATCTTCAACAGGGGAGGTTCTATCAATGTCTGTTTGATAAGCTGATATCTAATATTTGTATAATGACAATATTGTAATAAATTAGTAATTTATTTGTTATTATAAATGTAAGGCCAATTACGTTTATTTTTGTACGTTTTGGTACAGTGTTTTGTCTCCACTTGAGTTTCAGTGTAAATTCTATAATTGAGAACCAATGGTTTGAGTCATTAATAGCTATTTATTTATTATTTCCACAACAAGGTGCCTAAAGCAGAAGACTATCACAATTGTCTTTAGTCTGTAAATGTATTATTATGATCAAGTAGGCCTGATGTGATGTGAAGACATTGGCAAATGTGAAAACAAATTAAATTGATGCAAAATGAGTGTAACTGATGTCTGATAAGAAGCCTTTCCACTTGTAACACATAGTTGAGATGTTGTTGGCCAGAGAAAAACAATTGTTGAAACAATAAAAACAATAGTAGTTTTAAATATGGATATTTTTCTTACACAAACATAAGGCTGCACTTCAGAAGGTCTTTATTAACCCCCTAGAGCTTTATGGAGCACTTTTATCATGGATGCACTTTGATGAACTTCACAACTGAAATTGCCAGTAACTTCCATTATAAAGCTTAGAAGAGCCAAGATATATTTTAAATATAACTCCAATTATATACAGGTTGACTTGAGGGTGAGTCAGTCATTGGGTAATTTTCCAATTTGAACTAACCCTTTAATAGAATGTCTTAAACGTCACATTCATGTGCATGCATGGGGATTGAGTGAGGAAAAACATACAAAAAAACATTAAATTCTGGTCACAAATAAGAAATAAAAGAAAGTGTACAGAAGTCGGTAGAGCATTATCTCTTCTCCTGTTCACCTGTCACTTCTATTACAGACAGACACACTCTTTACACACATGCACAGTTCTCATTGTACCTTGAACAAAGTTACAAAGTTAAAATACACTGATAAAACCATTTTGCATTTCCCAAGAAGAAAATTATGTATCTTTCCATTGGAGCAAGACCTTTGCATTTAGTCAAATACCAAATGTGCATGATGTTACTATTCAATGCAACTGAATAATGTACATGCTCCCTTCATCCATTCAGTTAGTTTCTGTTGTTGAAACAGTTCACTCAAGTGTGGATGAACACACACACATAAAAAATAAAAAATAAAATAAAAATTAATTGCATTATGTGCAGTGTTGGGCTCATTACACACACACAAAAAATA